TATTCCCATCCCCCCCAACGCCCTTACTTCCTTTCTTTCTTTCCCCTCCTTATCCCCTCGTTCCTTTATCTTCCTTTTATTCCCCCCTATCTTCCCCCTCCCCCTAACTCCCTTCTTTCCCCTCCCCCCAACCCCTTCTTCCCCCTCCCCCCCAACCCCTCCTTCCCCCCCCCCCCTTCCTCCCCCTCCCCTCCCACCCCCAACCCCCTTCCCCCTCCCCCAACCCCTTTCCTTCCCCCCCCCACCCTTCCTTCCCCCTCCCCCCCCTTCCTTCCCCTCCCCCCCAAAACCCTTCCTTCCCCCTCCCCTCTCCCATCTCATCAGTCTCGCTGTCGGTAATAGCAAAATTTCATAGCCACTTTTTGTCGTTGTTATTATTATCATTACTCTTACTATTATTTCTTTAGAATGCGTCTATGTAGAGCTTATTTCTATTTTTATGTGTGTATTTTCCTTTTTGGATCCGTGCGGTGTGTGTATGTTTTGTGTATTTGTTTCATTTTTGTAATTCTCTCTTTCTTTCTTTTCTCTCTCTCTCTCACTCACTTCTCTATCTATCTATCTATCGGTCCCTGTCTACCTCCTCTCTCTCTCCTCTCTCTCTCTTCTCTCTCGTCTCTCTCTCTCTCATCTCTCTCTCTCTCTCTCTCTCTCTCTCTCATTCTCTCCTCTCTCTCTCTCTCCCTCCCTCCTTCCCTCCTCTTATCTCATACTTCCCTTCTCTCTCTCTCACCTTCCTCCCACCCTCTCCCTTCTCCCTCTCAATCACACACACACACACACACATACACACACACACACACACACACACACACACACACAGACACATCACAGACACACACACAAATCCTATCCCCGACCAACAAAAAAAAAAAAGAAAAAAAAAGAAGAAGATAAAGACAGGAATCACATCAGAAGGAGAGGTATTGGATCTCACATTAACGTCGTCACAGAAGCGAAGACGATGCGAAGGAAGAGAGAGAGAGAAAGAGCAAGAAAAAGATATCTTGGTGGGGGCAAAAGACGGAGGAGGAATGGGGGGGGGGGGGCGGGGAGATGGGGGGGGGGTGTTGGTATTTTTCGTGTGTTTTGTTGAGGGTTGTTGGTATAGTGGGGATGGGGTGGGGGGGGGGGGTAGGTAAGGTGGGATTGGAGAAGGAAGGGAAGAGAGTTGGGTAAGAGGGAAGGAGAGGAAGCACGAGCACGGAAGGGAAGGAGGGGAATGGGGAATGTGTGGGTGTGTGGTGTGTTGTGGTGTGTGTGTGTGTGGTGTGTGTGTGTGTGTCCGTGTGTGTGAGCAGAGAGAGAGAAGGAGAGAGAGCAGAGAAGAGCAGAGAGAGAGAGAGAGAGAGAGAGAGAGAGAGAGCAGAGGAAGTAACACACACAGGGCACACCAATAGGATTAGAGACAGAAAGAACAGAGAAGAAGAAGAGAGAGAAGAGATGAGAGAGAGAGAGAAGAAGAGAGAGAGAGAGAGCAGAGGAGAGAGAGAGAGAGAAGAAGAGAGAGAGAGAAACAGAACAGGTCAGACAGACAGAGAGTCAGACAACAAACACAGACACAGACACAGGATTAAACAGAAGCACCTTGCACCAACAAGAGCGCAACCCCTGTCTCCCCACAGCTCATAAACAATTAGGTTATTAGGGAAATTCGCCTAACGACCATTAGAACCATTAGACGAATCTACGGGCACGCATTAGGTATCTTCCCCCATATTCATGTACATGCAGTTTAAGTGAGCGCTGTAGTGAGCAAGTGTCGTATGAGGGCGTGTGGTCGCGTGGCTACACACACGCACTTTTTGTAATTGCTGTAGTAGTGCGTCTAGTTCGGTGAGATGGTAGGGTCAGGTGAGTGTGTGTGTGACGACAGTGAGGAGAGTTGAATAAAAAATAGGATGGACTCGTCGTTCCTGGATCAGGGTGAGGGGAATCAAGGGAATATTTTAAAACTTTTTCGCAGGAAGTAAACCGGGCAGATTTGGAACAGATTCGGAGAGAAAGGAATGGTTATATTCATTACCATTAACACTTATCATGTGCATTATCTTAAAGTGTTTTTTCTTTGCTCTTTGTTTATTCATCCCAGTTCTTCATAGGCTGAATGTGGAATTCACGAGAGAAGGATAGAAGAAAATGATTCAAGCAAAGATAGGAATGTGGAGAAGAATGAAAATGAAATTATTTGTTTTGGGGTGGACGCATTGGAAATACCGGGAGAATAAAGTAAGATAAATAAATAAACTAGGAAATTAATAAATTAAAGTAAATAAATAAAAGTAGAAATAATGAATAAATATACAATAGATTTGAAGCGTCTAAAAAAATCGTTTAAACTCTGTCTAGCACATACAGCATGCCCTCACCAAGCCCACCCCTCTGTCCCCATTCAACTGTCAACATACAAAACTTACGCAGTTTTGCAATTAACGATCCACAACGTCAACCCGACGCATCCATCAGCCCCCCCACTCCCACAACCCTTCCCTTGTGCACCCCTACGTCCAGGCCACCTCGGCCCGCTACTCCCAATCTCCCCAACTCTTCTTCCTCAGAAAGCGGTGCAAATAGAGAAGAGAGAGGAAAGAGAGATTCAGAGAGAGAGCGGAGAGAGAGAGGAGAGAGAGAGAGAGAGAGAGAGAGAGAGAGAGAGAGAGAGAGAGAAGACAGAGAGAGAGAAGACAGAGAGAGAGAGAAGACAGACAGACAGACCATAGCAGAGAGAGAGAGAGAGAGCAGCAGGAGGAGAGAGAGAGAGAGAGAGAGAGAGAGAGAGGGAGAGAGAGAGAAGAGGGAGAGAGCATGAGAGAGAGGAAGGAGAGGAGAGGAGCCAGAACTGAGAGAGAGGTGAGCGAGAGAGCAAAAAGACAGAGATTATATAATAGTATTATATATATATATATATAGTTATATACTATATATATATAAGTTATATATATATATATAATATATATATATATAGTTTATAGAAGAGAGGAGAGAGAGAGGAGAGAGGAGAGGAGGAGAAGAGAGAGAGATGAGAGAGAGAGAAAAAAAGGGAGAGAGAGAGAGAGAGAGAGAGAGAGAGAGGAGAGAGAGACGAGAGAGAGAGAGAAGAGAGAGATAGAGAGAGGAGAGAGAGAGAGAGAG